ATTTGTATTTTAAAAAGACCTTCACAGAATTTCCCTCATCCACCATGGAGAAGATGGCTACCAGCTTGGGAAAGAGTTTGTGAAGGTTCTTAGAAGAAGAGTTTGACCTCTTCGTAGTTGCTTATCATTGGCCATTGAGATAGAATTAAGCTGGGGATTTCTGGACCCTGATCATGAAAATCCAAAATATATTATGTCAAAACTGTRAAAAATGAGACCTAGAAAGGGACCRTCACTGGTCAAAATGGAATGAAACAATTGGAAGTTTTGTTTGATGTACTTGAAAGAAACACCTAGACTCATTGTTCCTTCACGTAGTGCCCGAAGCCCAACACCAGACCACTTTTCGTTCTCCAGAGCACAGGAAGAGGATGGGACCCAGGAACTAGTGGCCACTTATATGGCTGGCGACAGGCAGTGGTTATGTTACCTTCTGGGGTCCTTTAGATAAGACTGGAACACCAACGAAGTGGCCTTCAAATGTATCAGGAACATGAACAAATTTAAGTCCCTGAGGCTCAATAATCCACACGTCCACCTAAAGAAGAGAAAGAAATTGCAGCATTAMAAGTTCTTAAAGAATTTTTAAGCAAGAAGTGAAATTTCCAATGAATGCGATGATTCTTTTGCAATCTGCAAGTTTTCCAWGCTGGTTCTATTATCACTTCTAAAAGTTCTTCCAGTTTCCTGGGATGGGATTCATCTCACATGGAGGCTTTGCCCCTTTTTAGCAACTCAGTATGTTTTCAATTGCCTCACTCCCCTAGGACTGATTCCCCATTGCTACAGTCAGATGTGGTTTGAGTGTGTCCCCCAAGATTCACACGCTGGAAACTTGGTCCCAAGTGTGACAGTGTTGAAGTGGTGGGACCTTTAAGAGGTGGGGCCTCCTTCGAGGTGATTAGGTGATGGCAGTCTCAGAAGGGACTGGTCTGTGGTGTTGCTGGGAGGAGTTGTTAGGAAGCAAGGTTACACCTGTGCTTTGTCTGTCTGCACACAGCTGGTTGTCTTTCTRTTTCCCTGACATGACCTGATGCAACCAGGGGCCCTTGCTGGGATTCTGGTTGTTTGGAGCCTCCAGACACCAGCAGCACCCAAATAACCCTCTTTGCTTATAAAGTATCCAACCTCAGGTATTGGGTTTACTCACACAAAATGTAGAACTCTACCTTTATTCATTCTATTCTACTATTGTTATTTATAACACCTTCACTTTGTCAGAGAAAAAGGAAAGTTATTATTAAATTAGTCTGCACTTACTCCATAGATTTGTCTAAAAAAGACAATTTTCCCTGTATCTTGGGCCTTTTTATTTCTTTTCTGTCTTCTTCTTTGAAAGAGCTCAGCAGGGAGAAATACTTTTGGTGATTCTTGACAAAACCATAGCTAAAGCTGTATTTCCAGAATGATTATTATATTTTTAAGCATAGTGCAAGTCACTTCACATGTGTTGATTTATTGCACTCTCATCAATATTATTATTGTTATTATTATTTTTTATTTGATGCAGCTGATAAGTGGCAGAACCAGGCTTCCAACCCTGGGCCTGAGCTCTTAACACATTGTATACAACTTCTTAACTTCTAACAGCCCCAGCTCCATCTATTTTTTTTTTTTTGTTAGTACTGGGGATTAAACCTAGTACTTGGGGACACACTCAAACCACATCTGACTGTAGCAATGAGGAATCAGTCCTAGGGGAATGAGGTAATTGAAAGCATACTGAGTTGCCTTACCACCTAGGTTACATCCTCAGTCCTCAGTTCTTATTTTTTATTTTGTGACAGGATCTGGCAAAGTTTCTGAGGCTGACCTTGAACTTGCAATGCTCCTGCCCCAGCCTCCCAGTTGCTGGCATTACACCTGTGTTCACTGCAGCTGGCCCCAAGTCTGCCTTTCAATCAACATTGCTGCATTATTCTTTAGGCCCCTGTGTTACACTATTCTATTTCTTCTTCTTTTTCTTTTTTTTTTTTCATGAGTAGCCTCCATCTTTTATATACATACACTCACTCATTGAGATATGAAGTCATCAGGCAGTGCCTGGTACGCACATTGCTTTACTTACTACTTCTTTCTCATTTGGGATCATTTGCAAAAGCAATGAACTACTTCCCTTTGGAAGTCCTTACTTTGGAACCATGTCTGCTTTTCTTCTCTCAAAAAAACTGTTTTCTAAAATGTGCTTTCCTACTCAGGGAAATGCAAATCAAAACTACATTGAGATTTCCTCTCACTCCCGTCAGAGTGGCAACCATCAAGAATATGAACAATAATAAATGCTAGGGGCTGGGGTTTTGGCTCTGTGTTTGAGCATTTGTCTAGCACATGTGAGGCCCTAGGTTCAATCCTAAGCACTGCATAAAAATAACTAAATAAATAAATTGATTAATTAATTAAAGGTATTGTATCTATCTACGACTAAAAAAATTTTAAAAATAATAATATATGTGAGAGAGGATATGAAGAAAAAGGAACACTGTTGGGGGATTRTAAATTAGTACAACCATATGGAAATCAATATAGAGGTTATGCTAAAGACTAGGATTGAAACCATCAGATGGCTCAGTTATGACACCCCTTGGTATTTATCCTGAAGAATCAAAGTCATCATACTAAGAGATACATGCATACCCATGTTAATAACAGCACAATTCACAATAGCCAAACTATGAAACCTGTCTAGGTTTCCAACAATGGCTGAATGGATAAAGAAAATGTGGTATATATACACACAATGGAGTTTTATTCGGTCATAAAGGAAAATGAAATTATGTCAATTGCAGGAAAATGGATGGAACTAAAGACCATGATATTAAGCAAAATAAGTCAAGCTCAGAAGGTCAAGAKTCATATGATTTCTCTCATGTGTGGAAATTAGAGAGGAAAAAGGAAAAGGTTGTGTGATGAAACCCCAGGGGAGATCTGTAGAGGAAATGAACGAAGAGGAGGGAGAGGGGAAATACTGGTGAGTGACACTGACCAAATTATTTTGTTATATTGTGTGCATGCAAGAGCATGTAACAACAAACCATAGCATTATGTACAACTATAATGTACCAATAAAAATATGGGAAAAATTGCTTTCCTAAAGTCATGGAAACCAGTGTGAGCAGTTTCCATATTTTCTTTCTTGCTTATTACAAATAAGGTGTGAACTTAGCTTATTGCCTCCAAGAAAATCAACTGGTTCTCCATGTTGGCATGAGCCTTCTAGCAGAATCAGGGGGACCAGATGGCTCAGGACAGTCTGAGTAGCCATCACTGGTAGATAATGGAGAAGCTCTTGGGGAAAAAAGTCCAGGGAAGTTGCAGAGAACTGGGGCCTCTGCTTTATTCTTCCATAAGTTCCTACCTATAATAGAACCTGGGGCCCTCAGGACAAGGCTAGCTCTCTCCATGAGAGGAGGGGAAATGGAAGGAGGACTTTCTCCTAGGATTGCAGAAATGCTTAGCAAGCCTATGTCTCACTTGATGTAGACACAGCTCTAAAATCTAATAGGACCACTAGGCCACTGAGCATTGGGGGTGTGTGTCTGAGGCCCTACGACTGGTTCTGCTGAGAGGTCAGGACCAGCCCATGGTGATCCTGAATCACGCATCATAGTTATTGGTCTCACTCTAAGGAACCAAGTGTTGGAATAAAACCATTCCCCAAATTTGATACACCAATAGAGTTGGTTTTTTGTTTGTTTGTTTTTAAAGAGAAATCTTATCCTCTTTGATTTCTGTGGGGAAATGCATTTCCAGTTCAGTGGCCCTTCTGATGGTGATTGGAACAGCTCTTCTGGAATCAAGACTAGGAGAAGGTCTGTCATCTTTGTTTTCTCCTTAGCTTATCTCTGGATAAGATTAAATCTCTTGGGAAATGGACAAGGTCATAGAATGTTAGAGCTGGAAAGTACTTTAAATATTGTCTAGTCTAACCCTCTCGTGTCCCAGATGACAAAAWAAAGGCCAGAGAATTTTAAGTTAAATTAACTTAAAGCCCAGATCCCACATCTAGTTAGTGCCTGCCTATTTGGGGCCAGAAATCAGTCAACTTGCCTCTGTATAACTCTTTCTAATATAGCAAACCCYCTCTGTCTCATCTTAAAAGGGAGGAATTCCTCAGAGCATAGAAAATTTAAGAGTGAATAAAAATTCCCAAAATGTAAGAAATTTTTATGTGCTACTTGATATATGCTTTAAGAATCATTATCTACATGGAACCAAACTTAAAATCTTAAATTTTGGGATTTATAGCACAGAATGCAGTTAACTTTTTCTTAGCTCTGTGACCGTAGGCAAGTTATTCATCTGAATCTCTGTTTCCTTATCTGTCAAGGAAGGGTAATGACATTTCTCTCATAAATTGTGGTGAGGATTTAATGACAGCAGAGGTCTAAATACCTTCCCCCCAATATTATACAGGACATGTGTTTTCATATCATTTACATAGTTGTTTTTTTTTTTAAGAGAGAGAATTTTAATATTTATTTTTTAGTTTTCAGCAGACACAACATCTTTGTTTGTACGTGGTGCTGAGTGTTAATATAATTTTTATTATTAACAATCTCCAGGCCTGGTGGCATAGGCCTGTTATTCCCAGCGGCTCGTGAGGCTGAGGCAGGAGGATCGAGAGTTTAAAGTCAGCCGCAGCAATGGCAAGGCACTAAACAACTCAGTGAGACTCTGTTTCTAAATAGAATACAAAATAGGGTTGGGGATATGATTCTGTGGTTGAGGGTCTCTGAGTTCAATCCCCAGTACCAAAAAAAAAAAAAAAAAACCAAAAAAACAAAAACCCAACAACCTCAACAATGGCCTCATTAGTGGCTTAGTGCTTATCAGACGTTAAGTGCTGCCTCATAGTATTTCTATGAGATTCTTAGTATTGAGTAAAAGAATGTAGGTGATGGGCTCCCATCTATGTCCCTACTGGAAAAATAATCAGGATCACACATTAGTTGGGTAGGCCATCCTGGCACCTACTTGCCAAGTCACATGCCCTGGCATACTGYTGCTTTTGCCTGGAGGAACAGGCATCTTCTTCTAATTTTCCCAAAATCATTGTCACACGCCCTGATAGGGAGCTGAGAGCAAACTGTGAATATTGTTTATCAGATATGCAGATTTCCAAATTAAGATCAAAATTTCACCACAGTGAATTCTTCACCTTTTATCTCCTATGTGTATGGGCAATTTGCAACCTGTTGGCTTCACTTTCCCATCTGTCAAGGGGAAACACGTGTTGTGCACTCTCCTAGGTCTCCTCTTATGTCACTGCCTCTCACATAAAATTTTCATATGATGTCACAGAGAATTAAGCAAAGAAAAGAGCATTTCCATTTTTAAAGCAAAGTCAAGTTCAAGTGGATTATTCAATGCCAAAGGCCTGGCTCTCTTGAGATGATGGCGTTGGGGGGAGCTACTATTTCCATGAATTCATCTAACTTACAATTATTTCCACCTACTTTTGTAAGTTTATCTCACTTGTAACTAAGAAATGCAAGTATGTTCTATCAGYCTTTTTAAATATGAAAGAGTGGAGACTCAGGATAACTTGACCATGAAGATCATGGTATGGGTTTCAGGGCAGCCTCCATGAAAGATATGCTACCTCAAACCCCCGAAACCTGTGAATGTGGCTTATTTGCAAAATGGTTTTTAYGGATGCTGTTAAGGATCTTGAGGTGAGATGATTTTGTTCTACCTGGTGAGCCCTAAATCCAATGACAAGTGTTCTTATAAGAAAAAGGTAGAGGGAGACTTGAGATGCCCAGAGGAGAAAGTGAATATGACCTTGGGGAAGAAATTCAGAGTGTCACGGCCACAGGTCACAAGTCAAGAAATAGTTAGCAGCTGCAAACACCAGAAGAAGCAAGGAGTAGAATTTCCCCAGAGCCTCCAGAGGGAGTGTAACTCTGCTGACACCTTCATCTCAGACTCCTGTCCTCCGGAAGTGGAGAGAGTACACTTGTGTTATTTCAGGCCACACAATTTGTGGTGATTTGTTACAGCACCCTAAAAAACTAATACAGCTACAAAGCAGCTGAGCTGCTTTCAAAATCTATCAGGCATTCATGTGGCTGATTCCAAGCTCAAATCTTTTTGGCACACCACAGTGTACTGCAGAGCCAAATGCACCAAATACAAGAGTAGTGACGATCAGGGATAGACATCATAAGAGAAGGCACTTGCCACCAGCCCCACTCACCTCCAGGTGTTTGGCCAGTCGTCCAGGCTGCAGATAAAGTCTGTGCTCATAGGATCCCAGCTTCCTCCAATTCACTTCTTGGTAATGAAGTTCAAACTGCACCTTGACTCCAGGGAGGACGTTTACTTCCGTTTTGAAGTTCTCCATATCAACAGCTCTGCTCCTAAATGCAGGAGCCCCCAAACATAAGTCATCACGCACGTGATTGAACTGTGAGGCCCAGAATCTAGCCAGCGAGCATCTAGTCTTGTCCTGGGAGATCAGACCTGCTCAGTTGCTTATGAAATAGGTATGAAAGAGAAAAGTGCAACTTCTGGATAAATTTAATCCTACCAAGCATTTCCGTTTCCTCTCCTCTCCTCCCTGATCTGTGGCTTCTAGAACTTCTGATGTGAATTTGTTTGCCAAGTCACCCTCGCCTGTGCCAGGAACTTGACGTATTTCATCTCTGACACAGCAGTTCTGCAACTTACCCTCATTTTTTAGATGATAAAAAGTGAGGCTCATGTAGATAGGTAATCTACTCAGGATCCCACAGCTGGTCAACTGTAGTTCCAAGACTCAAACCCAAGTTTAGTTGCCTCCAGAGACAGCGAATACTTCCTACAATGCATTTCAAGRCCTATTCTAGGAATTCTTTATATTTTTGAAGGTATTCAAGGAAAATTATTTTATCAAATTGAATACATACTTTCGGTATAAGGTGTGCTGTGTATTTAGTCACCGAACATATTGAGTTCTATGTGATCATTGATCTTGAAGTGTTTATGGTTTTAAGGAATAAACATCAGAATTATCCAGCGAGGATGATTCCAATATCAGAATTAACAACAAATGACATTCTCTCTCTCTCTCTCTCTCTCTCTCTCTTTCTCTCTCTCTGTAACTGGGGAGTGCTCTATCATTGAGCTATGCCAACCCATTTTATTTTGAGTCAGGCTTGTGCTAAATTGCTGAGCCAGCCTCAAACTTACAATCCTCCTGCCTCAGCCTCCTGAATCACCAGGATTACAGGAGTGGACCACCATTCCCTGTAACAATGAATGGCTTTTAAACAAGGTGAACTTATGCATAATCAGCACATTWAGTTTCAGGGAAGTACTGAAGGCAGTCAGCTTGGGATACTGGGTAGTGGAAGAAAAAGGCAAACATGGTCTAGTGCAAAGCTTTGAGGCAGAATATGTTGGAAGAGGCCATATTTATCTGAGAAGTGGATTAGAAGGAGAGCTCTATGTTCTCCGCTGAATCTCGAGTATGTGGGATGAATAAATGAATGGATGATGTAGTCTATGTGCAAAGCTGGCAAAGTGATTCATGAAGTCAAAGAACTAATTAACCCGCAGGGAAGCTGGATATGTTCCCTGTCTTCAAATTTCTTCTCTCCTTTCTCTTCCTGGCTGAATTACATGTATCTGTTTGGGCTCGGCTGTAACATCAGTCTCTGAATATTTTCTGGACCCTCCAAACAGAATTGCATGCTTGGTACTCAGGATCCCCCCTGCATCAGCATTGCCCATTATCCACAGGATAGCCACTCTCCTTGTCYGTCTCTTCCACAAGCCTGACAGTGTTTGTTTTTGTGTTACTGCTGCTTCTAACAGAGCTGGGTACAGAGTTGACACTGGATGCTTTTTTTTTTTTCTGAATAAACAAATGCATGAGWGACATGAAAGAATTTCAACTAGAGGTACATTTAGGAACGAAGAAGAGTAAATGAAGATGAAAACAATGTGGCAGAGAGGTRTGCAGTGTGAAGAGTGATACGTTGAAGATTCCTTTGGAGCTGTTTGCTTGAAAGGTTGCTTTTTTGAGGTGATTTGGCATAACCAGTGTCTTATGTAAGACTACAGAGGGAAAAAAAATATCCCCAGAATCTAAGCTTAGTTCTTGATGCTCTAAAAGGCTCTATGCTGTAAACATAAGGCAGAAAAATCATTAAAACCAATTCTAAAATTTTCCTTTTGTACATACAGTAAGTTTTGTTGATAAAATCATCAATACATATAGTTCCTTTCTGCACTCTTTAGCAAAGAAAAAAAGACAGTACTGCACTCTGCTGTCATATATACCTAATTAAAATTAAAAAATAAATTTATTTTAAAAAACAGTGTTGATTTATAGAGTATCTATATAAGACAATCAATATAAGCACAACCTAAGTGAGATCTCCCAAATCTTATAGGTGGAAGAGAGGCCTGCAGGGAAATAGAAATTGTGCTGTCTAATTTTACCATCTAACTTTTAGAGTTTCGTCTGTTTAATCTGGTGCCTTTCTGGAGGATGGTTGGCCTTGGGGAAATGGGATGGGAGAGGAAGCACCGTGGCCCAGTCCTCTCACCTCACCAGTCCAGCCGTCTTGCCTTTTGCTCTCGCCTGTGAGTAGAGAGCTCGGCCCACAGTTTTCTCCTTAATGGAACTGGTGAACGTCGTGCCATCTACAGTCCTAGAAAATGACAGGAGGCAATGGGTTGATCAGTGTAGTAGTCTTAGCAAAACTAACAAACAACAAGCAACCCATTTATTAAGGTTGATTTAGTGAATGTGGGAAATGATCATTTTGTATCTATAAGAAACAAGAAGAGAGAGATTTGAGTCACTCCCTTTATCTTGTGAGGGGCTAGCTAACACTCACCCTAAAGCTTTTCCTTCATGTACTGTTGTTTGGGTTTGAACTTTTTCATAGCCACATTTTATCCTCCAGATGAAGCATTGCTCTCTTTGGAAGTATGAGCGACAAATGTGACTAGGAGAGATGACTGATAAATCGCTAATTATCCGACATACATTTGGTTCATCAGATCATTCTTCTGGGAGTTAAGAATTAGGAAATCCTGGGGGTTTGCAATGAACTGGAATATTTATGTCCCACCAAAACTCACAGGTTGATCCCACCTCTCAATAAGATGATGCTAAACAGTGGGTCCTTTAAGAGATCATTAGATCCTAAGAGTGAAGCCCTCATGAATAGGATTAGGGCCCTCATAAAAGAGAACCTCAAGAGTTCTCTTGCCCTTTTCTACCATGTGAGAACAGCAAAGAGATGGCCATCTATTGTTAGAGTCTGTAAACAATTCAAGATGGCGCCTGGCATTTTGCAGAGGGAGTGGTTTGTGAAGTAATGCCATGGAGCCATGGAGATTCCTTATTGGTTGACTGCTATATCTAGTTTATGTTAATTAAGATAAGCTGTGTGTAATGTATATAGACCCCTCCTGTCTTACAATAAACRGCTCTCCCACTCCTGCTGCATCAACCTTCACAAGTTTCTTGTCACCCCCCCCCCATTAGTTTGCCCAGCCAGCTGGGCTGCGGCAATCTATGAATCTTCTCTAGGCATGTAATCTGCCATTGTCTTGAATCTTAGATTTTGCTGTCTCTAAAACTATGAGAAGTAAGTTTTTGTTGTTTAAGTCCACCAAGTCTATGGTACTTTGTTAAAGCAATGCTAGYTGCTTTCTTGCAAACGGTGGAAAAGATTACAAAAAGATGGAGGAAGGTGCAGGCAATTCCTTCACAAAGTTTGTGTTTGTCTCTCTAACATCTCCCTTGGGGATCTCTGCCTTCTATTTGCATCCCTGTCTCTACCYATCTTTTAGCTGGCTAGTACCTAATTCCTGCCAAGTAATGGTTGGTTAAAGGAGTAGAATTAYAGAATTTTAAGAGCAAATGGGAACTTTAGAGCACTTAAATGGTCAGTTCTTTCCCAAGGAGGCATTTAAAAATGTGTGGAAAAGTTTCTGATTGTTATGGTGACTGGAATGTGCTCTGGCATTTATTGGAGGAGACCAAGAACACCAGACAGCCCATGATGTGTGACACAGCTAAAGAACTTTCTGCCCTACATTTCTAGGTCTTCCCCTTTAGATGGGAGAAATCAGATCCAAGGTGACAARGAGCATACTCAAGGTCCCACAGCCAGTCAGAACCAAAGTGAGATGAGAATCCACAAGTCTAGGCCAATGCTCTCCCACCACATTGCAGTGAAGCTCAAAACCCTGAGAGGTCTTCAAGGCAAAGAGACCTCTCTTCCAGAGCAGACTATTCGGACCTTTGATAAAAGAGTAGAAGACATGTTTTGGCTGGTATGAGCTCATTTTAAACASTGATGGTGAAACAGCTATTTTCCCAGGTCTTATAAATTCAGCTTTGAACAGAGRGGATTAAAATAAATGTACATTTCACAATTCTGTCTTGTCACTTCAAATATTTTATGGGATGAGAAGAGGAAGAAGAAAAAAAAGAATGAAGGGAAAGAGAAGAGATAACTAGAATGAGTTCCGATTATGTGGTTTAAACATAGGAATGTATTTAAATAGTTTTAAATGTGATTTCTAGACATGGTGTCATATAATACCACTACCAAAAGCTTCCTCCTTCCCTTTGCCTTCTAGGGATGGCTGACTTAAAAAAAAAAAAAGGTTGTAAATTTTTAAGCCAACCATCAAAGGGCACCAATTCACATAATTCTTTTTTTCCCCTCCTACTTTCTTTTTCTTGAAAATACAATTAACATGAATCTGCAGTTTTTGACAGCCACAATACTTGCTAATTGAACCCTTTGTTCATTCACAATTATCAATGATTAAATCTTGGGTTATGAAAGACAAAGCAAATAAGAAGTGACCTAATGCCTTAATGAGAAAATAGACCACACACAGGTCTGTTCCAGAGGGAACAGGGGGAGCTGACSAGGGGGAGCATTCTCTGGGGATGGTCATCTGAATGTGCAGGGAAGGGTTAGAAAGTCATATCCAACGGGGTAACTGGCCTTAACTTTTTAAAAGATATTGGTGAAGTTTAAATTKTTTTAATTATGGAAATTTTCAAATATATGAAAAATTGAGAGGAAAAAATATGATCCATCTCCATGAAACCATCACCCAGCTACACCAATATCAATACCCTGCCAATCTTAATTCATCTATACTCCCACACTTTCCACCTCAATTATTTTGAAGCCAATCTCAGACAGCATATCATTTCACCCATGAGCACTTCAAAATATATTTTGTAGAGAATTTTTTAAAAATTCTATGTGTGTAGCCCTAGAGTCATTGGGTAGAAAATGGAAAATATTTAAATTAAGTATAAGAAATCATTATAACAGAGCTGTCAACCATTGAGTTGATTGCCTTGGGAAGTGGTGAGTTTATCATTAAGGAAAGAGTCAAGTCAAGCCCAGATAACCCACTTGTCAGTGATATAATGGAGGAATTCTAGCACCGAATAAATGATTGGATTTAATCAGCAGTTCTCAACTATTTTTTTTTTCCTCATAGAGACACATATGGYAGATGACACTGATTTATGGCTCACATACTCATATGTGGTTTCCTACAAGTAAGGACAACTCCATATGTGTTTCTTCTCCAAAGAAAGCATATTAAAATGCAAGTAAGTGGATGTGGTTGCCGTAGAGATAACCTGAAGTTTGCTTTAATTCATTAGAAAGAAAAGCAAATCCTTCACAAATTCCGATACTTTGGACAGGAATGAATTGTTGAGATCCACCCCACAAGGACTCTAAACATCCAGCAGATCCACAGCTCAGAAAGCGGAAACCTCCAGAAGAGTTACATTTTAACTAGGAGGGCTTTTGAACCATGCAATATCTGGCTCTTCCCAGAAGTACTCACATGGTAAAGTTGGAGATAAAGGCCCCTTTGGGAATCTGAACATCAAACACGACATTCTGAGGCTGCGGGGAGTTGTTCACCAGCTTGCTCTGGATGATGGTATTGGCCATACGAGAAGTAATGGTGGACTGGACTTTATAGCTATAAAGAGTTACTTGATCAACATTCTCCTGAAATGGTCAAGAAGGCGTCATAGTAAAATCATTCTGAATGGAACTATGTATATGCCATGACCAGCAGTATATTTTATTTGTTATGACCAGTTCTAAAGCATTCGTAAATATGTAACTTCGCAACTGTTAAGCAGTCTCCTAACTTCTCAGAGTATCCCACAAGAAGAAGTTGGCCTTTGTTTTGAGATATTTTCCCATGCTGTTTAGCTCTCTGAGTTTATGAATTTTTTTAAATCCAAGTAGAAAATGGTTGTGGGAGCAAAATTGGATTGAAAAAGTCCAGGAAATAACTTCAAAGAACATAGTTAGTGAAAGGAGGCAGGATCCCAAGGTTGGAAGGGGGTCCTGGCTGTGCCTTCAGAATGGGATATAATCAGGGTGGTATGGGCTGAAGGGCATGCAGCAGCCTCCAATGCTGCTACATGTCTTTTTTGGTATCATCTATTATGATTTCCTAGTCAGTTCTCATATTTTCCCTCAAAATAAAACTTTGAGAACAATAAATCATTGAGAACAATGTCGGGTGTGGGTGGCGAGTAGAATACCACGGATAGGGAATTTTGATGCAAATATTGGTCCAAAACCCATCCTTCTACCCATAAATGGATTTATCTGCGGTAGCCCTGATGTAAAAATCACTGTATGTCAGTGTGCAAACCTTGGCAAAGACACGGCCAGTATGTGACACATTAGATTTTGCTTTTAACTCCAAGACGAGTTATTTATTTCAAACCTAGGTTTCGACACCCAACCTTTATTAAAGATTAAACCTGTAATTAGTTAATACCCAGTTCATCTCAAGCTAAGATAAAAATCCAGACTGATTTCCTTGCTTTTCTTCCCCCTTCAATGTGATCTTCCCACAGTTTCTGAGAGCTCAGAGCAGGAAGCACAATGTAAACTTTGGGCATTTTCTGGCCACACAGAGGTCTACTTTGACCGTCTSAGGGAACTTGGCCATTTCACGTCTAATAAGAGTTCCTTCCCATGGCCACTCTTTTATTCTCCAAAGCTGTCAGATGTCATGTTTTAAATCAAAACTGTTAAGTAGCAATAAATGCATATGGTAGGATGAAACTTATGTTTTTGGTGAAACTTTAGAAAATAAAGAACACTTTMATTCCTTGGTGGCAACTGTCCTGTCTACAAATACTGGACACTCTAGTGCAGAATTTTGGAAAGATTTACAAACAGAATTGGGCAAAGGGGTATTTCAAAATTCAGGTCAATACTCTCAGTGACAAAGACCAAGGAGACACCTGGCTTGATTTCCAGATAATGGTTAACAGGAAAATCATTCACACATCAACTTATAACAAAATCAAAGCAAACTTACCATCACTTCTCCGGATTCTCCAGAAAGGCTTCTCTGTGGAAGGAAGTTAGACAATCATCCTTCAACTGCATGGCATTTATTATCTCAAGGGCAAAACGGGTCTCTCCGTCAAAAACATTTTTTCCCCTTCAGTACTAAGCTGTAGTTCCTTCATTAGAGCTGAGACATGAATCTCAAATATTCTCAGAAACTCTTTTCCCACTGGTGAGTTTCTCTGAACAAGTTTCTCAGCCATTTTTGGTTGCGGGCACACCCCTCTGTGACATAATGCTAAAATGAATATTTTTAAGTGAAAATGTCCAGCCAGACTTATCCTGAGCAGCATAGATTTTCTTCASTCTGTCTGGTTTGCTTTTTCTTCAATTGAGTGGTGATTGGGGTGCTCCATTCTGCCTTGGGACTTTGGACACTCTGTTCCCACTGTCAAAAACACTCTTGCTGCCAGTCCCCCTCCATCTGCAATGCCCCCAGCCCACCATAATGACGTCCTAGCCATCCTTCCCATCTCAGCTTTGGCAGAATTTTCTTTGAAATTCTCTGACCATGCCCCCTCCCCCAATGAGTCAGGTAAGTATTTTCCAAGGAGCTCKTTCCTACACTCACAACATCTACCTCTTATCCATTTCACATGAGGGGTCAGTTTCCTAGGTTCTGTCTCCTTCTAAACTAAGCTACATGCCAGCAGGGACTTTGATGTACTTCCTCCATGATTAGCCTTGAAACCAAACACAGTGACTGGCACCTGGAAACTTTTGTGCTCTCAACATCATGCTATGGGGTTCTCCACATGAGTAACCGTCCCGCCTCATGGAAATCATCTTGCCTTCGAAAGGCGAATGGCTTAGGATTGATGGGTGGAAATTGAATACCTGATGGGTTGTAAAATAAGACAAGTTTTGGATGTAAGCTCAGCTTGCCTGATTTGGGTTGAACCCAGGCTTTAGCAGGTGCTATATGACAAGGTGAAGTCAATAGTTGCTTTCTTTCAGACTTTTTGAATGGAAAGTTTGATGGTTACGTTTTCTCCCCCATGGTTAAATGAAGTCTCGCTGGTTGGGTTTTAATATTATTGATCTACAAAAAAACCTGGACTTTAGAAACGTCAAACATTGATACCCACACAAACTAAGTCATCAGTCAGCTTAGTGTTGCTTCCATAAAGACCTTCTTTCTTAGCAGTGGGCTCTGTGTGGGAAAAGCCAAACCCCTCCTGGCATTGCTGAGCTCACCCCCATTAATTAGAGGATTTTATCTAGGCTGCGTCTGTGGCCTCCAGCATGATATTTCTCCTTCCATGGTACTTTCTGAGCAGCTTCCCAGGGCAGAGTGACCAGAGGAAGGAGAATGCATGGTCACAATGAGAAGTGTCACCACTGGATTAAGAAAATCCTTCCTAAGAGGCACTTCTTATAAGGCAATAAGATATTTCCAGAATCTTTAATTTTGAAGAAAACTCACAGCCATGTATTCTTTAGGGAACTAAGGGGATCGTTATGACTGACTGCCCCTGGAGAGCTATATGGAGGTCTCACTTTATTTAACCTTGACAGTGTTTCCACCTAGGTGCAAAACCACTAAACTGACTAAGAAGTGAGATCTTGAGAAAATCTAGCCAGAGGCACCATCGTACCTGTTTCACCTCTCCACCCATGAGCTCTTTCTCCTATTTTCCCTTTGGAAGTAAAGCTTACTGTACCTGATACCTCCGGTTCTCTGGCACAAATTGAAATTTTCCTGGGGCCAGTTCCACCAGATCACCATATTCTGCAAACTTAAAAAAAGAATTTAGGATGTTTATATCTATTAAAAATATCTAGAGCAATAGAGGCAGCTGGAGCAGTCATAATATGATTTYATATTCCTTTTCCTCTGCCTCTGGACCATCTCATTATTTTATACCATGATTTTTTTTTCAATCTATTTTGTTTTCTTGTTTGGTCTCAGAGGTGAGTAAAAGGAAATTAACATCTATAAATTTGTTGGAGGTGGGACTTCATTTTTTAGTTTGTGTGGAGATGATTGGACAGACATGTAATGGCCAAAGTGACCCAGTGATTAGGTGGGTACTCGGGGAAGTATTTGGRTAGACCTCAGGGCCTTAGCATGGTGGGCTAGACAGATATGATCAATTCATCTTCCTGAGTTAAAAATGTAGGTAGGAAAGGAAAGCCAGTTTTAGAAATGACTGAAAAATCACAAACACATTTGGGTGTCTTGACTTCAGTTTAAGATTTCTGACACATTTGATGGTTTTCAAAGTGTTAGAAAATGCAATGATTTCTAAGCAGAGCAATCTCCCCCTGCAAATACGCCATCGTATTCTTCTTCAAGCAAGACCTCTGCATTTGCTAGGATAGTCCCATAACACATTTTGCTTTTCTGGCATAACAGTAACTCCTACATGAATTTCAGAAAGATTCAGTTCAAGACTTTCCTTACATGAGATGACCAAGGATCCCGAATAAAGACCTTGAATCCATGGGAACTATTCCTGCACTTTGCCAGCTCACTTTCCATATTCCCTTTTAATAGGAAAGCTTAAAGAGTCCTTACACAAAAATCATAGTTCACTTAGTACAAAAAGCAATGGTGCTTTGATAATGACTCCTAGGGAAAACAGTGATAATGACATTTCTTAATAGTAATAGCTAATAATTGTTAACACTTGCTAGTCCATGAACTGTGGCAGGCAGCTTACACACAGCATTGAATTTTATACCAATCTTTTGGCCTTTTTAGATAGGGAACTACAGGCTCTGCTCCATAACTGCTACACAATGATGCCTGACCACTGAACTTGACTTATTTCTCATGCAAAACCCACTGATGCTTTAAGAGGTAAATACATATTCCAGTAATTATAATGGTAAATGCTTGTACTCTGATGATTGTTCTACAAATTTCCTTTCTACACAGAGCGAGATCATTGAATAGCAATTGCAATCTGCTATTTACGTTCAGAACAGCAGCAAGGAGCCCTCTAGATGTACTTACTTCAGGAAGTCCATTTATGGGGATCTCAAAGGCTTGTGTTTCCAAAAGAAATAACCAGATGAGAAAGCACGTGAGTCCTTTCATTTTGCCGGACTGCTTTGCCAAGCTCTCCAGAGCAGATGGCCTGGAGAGAATTCYACTCCTTCGTCCTGAATCAAGTTCAAAGGAACAACAGAGGCTCACAGTTCCTGTCAAAAATAAAAGGAGAAAGAGAAGGAAGCTCTCTAACTGTGCTCAAAATCGGGACAAATATTTGTTTGGGAGCTCCAACTTGATCTGTGGGGGTGGAAAGACACGCAGAGGTTATCCAAACAGCAAAGCCAGAAGCAGTTGCTGGGCCATGGGACAAGTCAGGGTCAGGCTCGGGGTCAGACTTTTTTTTTTTTCTTTTGCTGACTTCTATTGATAAAGTCAGAGAAACCTAAAGATAATTTCCATCTTATTTAAGGGACCCAATTAGGAACTATACCAAGAGATAGATCCAGAGAGAAAAGTAAAAGTGAAAAGTTTCTGAAAACAAAATTCTTTCACTAAGATTAACGCAGGAGAAGAAAAGAAAAAAAAAGGCTATGGGAGAAACACAATGGTTTTCTGGGCAGAGAATTCATAGTTAATGTTTCCCCCCTCTCTGATACTGAATACCTATTATATATAAAAAAACTGAGCAAGGTGATACAGATATTAAGACTCACTCTTCAGGGTAARTGTCTTCCATAAAGCTAAGTGTCCATTCTTCCTGCCCCTTGATCATGACTTTCCAGGTGGCACTAGGAGTTGGTGCCATCATTCTAGTGAGTCATACAGTAAAAATATCAACTAGGAACTTTAAAATGGTCACCACATTATTTTAACATGGGAAACGAATGCCCAGGAAATAATACAAAAAGAAAAAAAATGTATGGAAAAGTTTATATCCGTGAAAGATAGACACAAGCACATTGACAAATGGCTAAGCAAATAATTGAGTTAGTTTATGAATCAGTTCGTGTGCCATAAACATCGATGGAGACTTATTACATGCACTAKGAGCTGAATACATAAAAGTGAATCGCAAGGAGTGACCTGCCAGTGTCCCCATATAGTCGTGGAGAAGGATGGACAGTTCACCAGGATGAGGGATAATGAGAGCCATGTCCGGTGTAYAGTTGCCACAAGGAAAGTGGGCTACACTCACTCGGAGAGATGTAGGCATGTTCACAGGGCAGACAGGGTATCATCTGTCAGGTCTGGGAAGATGGGTGGGGTTTCTCCAGGCTGATGGCAGATGGTTTTAATTCAGGGCGTGAGATGAGAGTGCAGGGCTGGCGGGACACCCAGGGAAACAGAGGTAGGTTRGTATGGCAGGAGTTGGAGGGAGGGCGAAGGGAGCTGGCAGAGGGGTAGAGGGCCACAGAGCACGGAATACAGCAGTCCAGGGCAACCTGAACTCTGCACTCTAGGCAGTGGGGACTCAGGACTGGAAGGGGAGAAGCCTGACAGACAAGCACTCATATTGTATACAGATCACAGTGGGTTCAGCTCAGGTGATGGAAGAGGCAGGAGAAGAAGCCAAGGAACTATTTAAGAGATGCTGACAGTCCTGTTGAGATAGCATAAGGTCCTAGATGGAGTCCGTGGAGTGAGGATGGCTTGAGATGATGGGTTCACGTGGTGTTCACATCAAATACCAGGTGCTAGTGGAAAAAGCAAGTATTTACTTTTGATATATAGATGTGTAGGTGCAGACTGTTGCTAAGTAATGATAGCAGCATGCAGATTAATGAGGGCAGACGTTTACAGCTGTAAGAAAAATACGCAGATTGACAAATAACCAAGAACTCGTGGTGATGAAGATGCTGTCCGGGTGGTGGGCTCACGGGCACTTTGTGCCTTCTTCTTCAAGGTGGTGGCTAAGGTCACTGGGTTTAGGAGTCGGTCATCAGAGGTTCATGGTCCTGCTCCTTCTGCTTACTAGTTGTAAGAATCCACGTGGTCTCCTTCATCTCTGAGAGCCTTATTTGTGCAATGAGAATGATCTCCCATTGCTGTGGACTGAATTGTTCCCTTTCCAAACTTTTTTGCTGAGGCCATAACTCCCAGTGTGGTTATATTTGGAGTAAAGAGGTAATTAAAGGCTGGGGTTGTGGCTCAGCGGTGGAGTGCTCGCCTCACATGCCCAGGGAACTAGGTTCAATCTTCAGCAACACATAAATAAAATAAAGGAATTGTGTTTATCTACAACTAAAAATTTTTTTAAAAAGAAGTAATTAAGGTTAAATGGGGTCAAAGTATGAGCCTTGATTTGATTAATGTGCTCATGAGACACCAGAACACATACACACACACATGTTTTTTCTCTCTTTCTTTCTTTCTGTGGTATGAGGACATAATGAGAAGGCAGTGGTCTACAAACCAGGAGAGAGCCTGTATTAGAAATGAAACCGGCTGGCACTTGGATCTTGCCTAATCTTGGACTTCCCAGTCTCCAGAACTGTAAGAAAATAAATTTCTGTTGTTTGAGCCACTCAGTCTGTGGTGTTGCGTTACAGCAGCCTGAGCTAAGATGCCCACCTACTGTTGGAGGGGGTTTTATAAGCATTAAATAAGGTAACACATGTAAAATATTTGGCATACACTAAGTGCTTAATATATATTAGTCACAATTAACTTTATCATTAAAGAAGAAAGCAGATTTCTATGTGAAAACAGGGCACATAAAAATAGAGCTTAATACTTACTAGCCRTTTTTATCCATAAAATTACTTCTGTTTTTCTGATTTTTGACAATAAATCTTAATCAGGACCTACCAGTGTATTTTTCTGCAMATTGTAGATGGCGAATTAAAGTCTGCCCAATGATTTATCATTTCCATCATAGATAATATTGTTCTACTCTCCTCCCGTCTTTTTTTTTTCTTTTAAACAGGTTAATCATTTTAGTAGATTTCATATCCTTTTGATCTTGCATGTTGTTTATTATCAAACTCTCCCTGTAAGACTGTTCCAACATTTCAGAACAAGGAGACAAATACAGTGAAGGAATTTTATGTATTAGCCAATCTTGGAGGAATTTTATTTTCCTTGCAACAAACAAGTTCTGGAGCCGCTAGKACTCGGTGCTGCAATAGTCAGTCTCACACCCTGGGCAGAACAGTGACCAAGGGAAGCTGTCTCATGCTCAGGGACAGGTAGTCTGGGCCAACTTCTGGTGTCCTGCAGCTCCCTACTACATTTGAAGCCCAATTCACTGGGTTTATAACTGAGACCTGTCTATTTTTCTATGGAGGCTTWGTCTTCACCCTCTGAAGTTGCACAGCAGTGAATCTGTGGGAAAACAACTTCTGGAACAATAGAAGGGAAGAAATAGACCCTCCCCTCCCCTGTCTAGGCTGGGCTGGGTGGGTACCTGCTCAAGCCTGTGGGGGCCTTAGCCACACCCTCACAGAACTATAGAGCCACAGCTTGGCATCCTCCACTGAGATAGTGCTTTKGGGTGCATTTTTTTWAAATAACTGTGTTCTTCAACATTATATACCTTTCCATTGATCATCTCATCTTCAGTGGTTTTAATCTAACATTCAGAAGTAGTATGGACGAATCTAAACTAAGGGCAGCCTGGGTCATTCTCCCCTTTTCATGTCAATAGCTTGTATGCAAATCCCAAGGTCTCAGGAAAAACACTCTGTTTGCTCTCTCTTGATCTTCAGAAGCACAGGGGCTCCCATCAGGGTAGGCTATGTGTTCAGGTCACAGGTCCTGAACCTGTGGCCCTTCCACCCYGCCTTTCCCAGGCCCAGGCAGCTGTTATGTAGACCAAAAGTATTTTCTGCTTTAAATGTTCTCGACTTATAAGGATGGAAGTCACTACTGAGAAGGTCGACTGAGAATATCTACTTTCATGAATGTGAACATCAGTAGAAAATCTACAAGAAAAAATGTCACAATATTTCATGATGTTTGAACAAACTAACAAGTTATTGAGTACGCATTGAGCTTTCTGACAAATATCAATAAACTTGAGATTCATCACTCTAAATGTCACTGTGATTTAGCTAACAGAATAGCTATAGCAAGCACACATTTTAAAAAGTTCAGTTCTAGTCCTATCATTGTGAAAGCGTATTTTTAAAATTTCAAAATGAGGCTGAGCTAACATACAAATATCTATCTCTGACTTTTCCCTTCTTGTTCATTGGGTCAGATGAAGCATAATATGGAGAGTGTCTGTTTTCTACACATTGTGGGCTCAGATGCCTTTCCTTCCCATGGTAAAGTGTTTAATAGGATCTTTAAAGACCGTCAGCATATTGGCACATGCCTGTAATCTCAGCTACTCAGGAGGCTGAGGTAGAAGGATTGCAAATTTGAGGTCAGCCTCAGCAACTGTCAAAATAGAATAAAAAGAACTGGGGACATTACTCAGTGATAGAGCATTATCCTAGCATATAAAAGGCCCCAGGTTCAATGCCCAGAACTTAAAAGATTAAAAAAGAAAACAACAAAAAGCTGTTAGAATTTTCAAGAAGACATTCTACTTCTCTGCTGTATCTTTTCTCTTCCTGTAGTGACAGGTATGGTTTATTATCAGATGTAGCCAGATCATAAAGATTTGCAGGGTGTGTGTTGGGGGCCAGGTTGTGGCTCAGTGGTGGAGTGCTTGCCTAGCACATGAGAGGCTTTGAGTTTAATCCTCAGCACCTCATACAGATAAGTAAAATAAAAGGTATTGTGGTCACCTACTACTAAAAAAAAGTTTTAAAAAAGATATTTTTTGTTTAAAATAGAATAGACATATCACAAGCCAAAAACRTGACATAGAGAGGGTGGAGCTAATTGTCTCATTAGCTCTTGGGTTGAGTGATTGCTGTTCTTTTGTTGAGCCGCAGTGATTGTGTTCCCCTGTGTCTGAAGTTTGACTTCATACCCATTACCTGAGTGACAAGCCTCAATCCGGATAGGTCAATCCCAGAATAACGGCTCCCTGTATTCATCCCAGGGGATCTGGGTATTTCTGGCAAGGATGGGGCCGAATCTGGAGGCCCAAACAACAAGATCCAGCCCTGGTGTTTCCAATCCAGGCAGGCAGCGCCTTGGCATGAGTACTGGGGCCATCTCCAAGGTAGAAAAAGTGTGAGGGGCATATCTGGGTATCTGYGCCATGAGGAATGTTGGAGGTCATCTACTGAATTCTCTACATTAAAAGATGATGGAG